TGTAAATTTTTTTAAAAGATAGTAAAGATTGCACAACATTCATTTCAAAATATTGTGTAATATATTAATAAAGACGTAAAAAACGCGTATTTTATTTCATTTTTTATTGTTTTTTCGTTTTAATTAATATAATTTTGTTTCATTTAATTTAATTTAATTATATTTAAGTTCTTATTTCATACACATGCATCTAATTTAGCACCACTAAATATTTTTAATATAATGAATGAGTTCAATATTGTATTTTATAGAGCTGTCTCTTTATTCCTGTATGCAACGAAACATCTGGACAAAATAAACTACTTCGGAAACGGTAACTGGCGGATTCACATAAAAGAAACTGTGAAAGTCATTGATCGACTCAATGCCAAAGATAAGGAAATTTTTTATTGTGACATGCGTAAGGAATCGTTCATCTGGGAATCGTACCTCGGTATTTTGTGGCGTGGAATCAGGATGTACATAATGAAAGAGAAGTTGGATTCAGCAAAGAGTTATCGTAAATATATACAGATATGTATCGTGCACTACGGAGCGATTACAGTGTTAGTGCTATTATTATTAAACTGGCTGATGAAATTCATGAGCTAAGTTTATCAAAATTATAAATCCTTTAGGATGTGATTCAATTAATTAATATAGAGACTGAAAATCAAAACATCAATGACTCTCAAGTTGTGTTGAGGTAGAATTTCAGTGATTTTTCGAAAAGAAGTAATATTTTTAAAGATATTTGATAACAATATTGTTTACCATTGCTTTTTAGAGTTTTCCAAGTGTTGAAACTATATTTTTTAAATTGAAATTTTTATTTGGAAAATACTTTCAAAATGTATTACATGATCTGATATAAATCATTATTTCTTAAACAGTGTAAAACACTAGTTTTTTTTTTTATTATAAAAAAAATATACTGAGTTGTAGCTATCAATGTTATACATTAAATATACAGTATGGTAGCTGATACCAACGCATATACGAATCATTTATTATTTTCCAACCTCTTGAGGTTTAGACTTGTAGTAGCAAGAGTCTACTAATTGAGTAAATTTTTTTGTTTTTTTCATAACTCATGCCAACTTTTATATACCAAAGTTTTCCAAAGTTAAATCAATGAAACTTTTCCAAAGTTTGCCAAAGTTGACAAAATATTGCTTTGATTTGTATTAAAATTATTCCCACTTTATTAGACCGTCTATATTTTATACCAGTTTTTTTTACATGTAAAAAGATGAGACAAACAACGTCTTTAACACAAAAAGTTAATTGATGACAACTCTTTTCCAGACTCAAGATGAAGAAAACGAGTTTAAATGAACAATTTTAAAAATATTAATAAAAGTCCTTTGAAATCTAGTTCTTAAACTCATTTGGATTTTGTCAGGACCTGGTGCAAAAATGTAATGGTTTTAGTATTACGGTCCTAAAAAATAGTACACATAACTTCCTTATCAGACAGCCTTAATTAAGCAGTACGAAAGTGCTGAGTATCAAGGAAGAACTTTCCGAAGGAAATTTAGGTATCAAATAACTACAATATACATCCAAAATTAGTGACATTTATACTTTCACGCTTATGAAATATAAAAACGATTGAGATTGTAAGTTCAAACTTCAAACTTTTATTAAAATTAAAAACTATAATAGTCGGTTATAATAGACAAATAGGATAGAAGGAATAAATTACTTCTACTTAAGTGTACTACTTGTGCGATGTAATATACATCAAGGAATCATTTAATTGTAATAAAAATATGGATGGTAACATTACGATGAACTTAAAACGGAAGAGCACGAGTATAGTAACGTGTAATGACAAAAAAAAGTTGTATTATTTTAAATGATTTTAGAATATTTAAGATATTTGAATGATTGAGAAAAGCATTCCAAGCATAGGAAACTGTTTGTTTTACGACAATATGTGTGCAGTCTCATGGCACGTTAAATAAATTAAGAAATAAGTCAACAAATAATATTTGTCCATTCTTATGAATAGAGACTAACTAGTTCTGTCTAACTGTTGCAAAATATATATATATCATGCAAGTTTATAAAAGTTCCAGAGGCTAAACTGAAAAATACAATAATAATATATAGAAATAGCTCGAAAAAATCTCAGTAAGCAAACGGAAAGAGATATATTGCTATTGAAATATCAGTTTGGAATTAGAAAAGAAAGATCGAATATAGATAAAATAAAAGTATTTACATCATCTAGTACAGAAAAAAGCAAAGAATATATTACAAAATTCGTTGATCAACAGCCATTTTCGGCAGTTAGCAAAGAAATTTATTACATCAAAATTAAATTTGTGGAGGAATTAAAAAAACTAATTATAAAGCTTATGAACTCAAATACTACGACTAAACTTAAATACTTACGAAAATAATATTGAGAGTTTGAAAAAGAAAATAATAGTAAGTAGTCCTGAAGTTGACGTGGAACTCAGGAGAGAAGATCAATACTCTAATTATTTTATAAAGAGTGGCATACCATATAAAGCTAAAGTATTAAGGTAAAAGTAAATAAAGAATAAGATAAATTAAATGGGACTTTCCCAAATTAATGTTAAAACTAGGATTATAAACACTTAAGCATTTGATATAAGATATGAACAAGTACAAGCTTGAATGAATTAGAGTCAAGGGGTTCTACAAAAAGAATATAAATTTGTAAAAAAAAGAAAATTAGACATACTGGCTAAAATGTGTTGAAAAAAGGGCTGAAATAATAGGTTATGTACCAAAGAAAGAAGAAAGATTCTAACTAGTTGAGAGTTACATTTACTTGCGATATTTGTGAAAGAGGAAATAAATGTGGTACATGTAGTAGTTACAAAAGGAATAGATTTACAAAAAAAAGTATGAAGTAAAATTCAAACATAGTTACAGGAAATTAAATACAACAAAAACTATAAAGATAAATAATTGAAGACAGAAATAAATTCAAAATAGATATATAATAATTTTGCAAATCATACAATTAATACTAGCTGTAGTGTTATGAAATCAGCTCTAAATCAAATCAAAGAATATAAAAATGTAAAAAAACTCATAAAATAACATGGACAAGTAAAAAAATTCATAGATAACATAGGTGTGAAACATATATATATATATA